GCGCGGGGAGGGCGGGGGGGGGGGGGGGGGCACCAAAATGCCGCAGGCTCCGGCCTGGAGCCCAGCTCACGCCCCGGGAGCGGGGCTGCTGCAGGGCTGCGTGCCGAAGCCCTCGGAGATGCACTGTGGGAATGGCAGAGGTGGGGGAAGCCACATCTCAACGCGAGCCCGGCCGCCTTCCCCCCAGGCGCTGGGACAGGCTGCGTGGAGAGGGCATTAACGCGCGTTTAATTCCACCCCAGACGCAGCCAGCCGAGCCCACGGCATTCACCGGTGCTGAAGGCATTGGACACAGCAGAGGGAGGGGGAGGTTGGGCAGTTTGACGCACCAGCAATGAAAAAAAAAAAAAAGAGAAAAGAAGGTGCACACAGGCATGGCGAGAAGCAGGGAGCCCAGCCAGTGCGGCCCCAAGCACCGCGTCCACACCCCATCCCCGTACACTTCCACTGCCCACAGCTATTCACTCGACTACGGGCGAAGGGATTAAGGCACGTGTATTTTTGTATTAACACCGGCAGTACAAATGCCAACGACTTTCCTCTAGACGTACGCAAGCTCCTTTCCCGAGCACGGGCGCACACGACGGGTAGTAACTGGCAAGGCCAGAGGACACTGGTTGGTATTTTCCAGTTCAACCATGGGACAGGCAGTCCTCAGCTGCGCTCCCGTGGAGGCGGACAGCAGCGATCATGCCTGTCACCACATCATTGGAAGACACCAATAATTTATTGAAATAAATACAGGTAACAAACCAAACAGCCTCTGGGTTTAAACACTACACGTGCGTCGGGTACAATTTCTCTACGCTCTCGGGCAAAGCATAGTGATACACTGATTTTTGGCCACATGAGCCTTTGCCAAGTCCGGAGCAGCCAGATATGTGCTGGAGATCGGAGGTGGAGGCTCCCAACTTGTCAGGATTTGGGCTTTCTTGTAGGAAGGAGTCCAGTTTCAGGAGGATTTCTTTCTTTGTAAGAGTGAATCTTTTTTTTTTTTTTTTAAACCGAAAAAGGTTAGACCCCAAGTCCACGTTGGCAAGCTGCAAGCTGAAGTGGGGGCTCTGTTCGGACGAGGCCCTTCAGAAGCAAAGGCTGCTCTCCCAGAGCAACCCCGGCAAACCCAGGACTGACCAGGGAAAGCAAGCCTGGCTCTCCAGCCAGAGAGCCGCCGCGTCCACGCTGGCGCCGGCCGGTCCCAGCCTCCAAACTGGCATCCGTGCGACCTTGGGACCCAGTGGGGACAGCGATGCGGACGCTTCGCAAACCTCCTTCCTCTGCCAGGACCGCCCCGCTACATCTGTCCTCGGCTGCCACAGTTCTCCAGGGCACAGCCCTCCGCCGACAGCCCCGGGGAGACTCCGGGAGCACAGAGGCCAGAGGATGGCAGTCAAGCAGGGAAATCCAGTCAACAATAACAAGGGGAGAGTCTTCAGCTCGGACCGGCCCTCGAAACTCATGTTTCCACTACTCGAATGAGAGGCAGCGGCTTGGGGCCCGTCACCCTTTTGCTGCAAGAGAGAAAGGATTTGTTGAGGCAGACGAACTGGAGGGGGAAAACCTGCGGGAGAGGTCCTGCCCCAGCCCTGTCGGCGATGGCTCCCCCGAAAACCGCCCACGGGCGGGACCTCCGCTCCCCTGAGGGAGGGATGCAGGAACAGCGGCCTCTCTGCAAACAGGAAAAAAACCACGGCGTGCTTCCATAAGAACGTCCCTGCGTCCAGCATCATCTCCCAGCCTGCAGCTCCCACTGCCCCAGGCAAGATGAGGGCCTGCCGATGAAGCCCCTGAGCAGCCAGGCCGGCTCCCCCGCCTCGCAGGAGGGTACGCGCGCCCCACGTACCTGCTCACGTACTCCGACTTCGAGCGCACTCTGGAGCTGTGGCCGCCCCGACTGACTTGCTTCTCGATCAAGTGCTCTATGCGGTCGTGCATCTCCAGGTTCTGCAAGAGACAGAGCCACACTTGGCGACGGGTAGCGGGGAACAGGCGAGCTGCGGGCATGCCGATTGTGTGCCGAGGAATGCTCCAGTATAATCGCTTGCAGTGGGGCAGCTTTTCCTTGAAGGAAATGAAATCCAGCCCTACACAGGGACTGCTCGCCAAAGGAGAGCCGGCATGGTTTGTAAGACCTGCGGAACACCCGACATGGAAACCCACCAGCACACAATCTCTCTCGTTGGATGTTTTCTGCCTGGGTTCGCGGCTGGCTGTGCTCACGCACGCCGTCCCCATGCAGAAATCAGCAAAATAAGTCACTGAGGAGGGAAGGAACCACTAGAAGTGCCAATGCAGGCTCAGTTTTTATCCAAAAAAGGAGAGAGGTTTGACACTTGTTACAATCCTAGAGGCCGGAATGCAATTTTAATTTCTGACACGCACGCACTCAGCTGCGGCTTTGTAAACAAGAAGGGTTTTGCTGCCAGAGAAGTGTGCTTGATGAGATTATTTTGGACTCGGCTTGAGTTCGCAGCTGCTCCAGCAGCTCCGGCTGCGTTGGAAACCATCACGCCAGCTCCGAGAGCCAGCACGGCCCTCGGGGCTGCGGAGGGCACGTTTTCCTAGGCGAAGCAGGTGTGGGTGCAAGGGAAGGGCTTTGCTGCTGGCCGCTCTGCCCAGAGCGAAGCTCATCGCTGCGAGGGAGCCTGGCCGCCACCCGCGGGCGTGCAAAGCCAGTCACGCCGGGAGGTTTCAAACGAGAGGGTCTGAGCTCAGAGCAGACCTCGTGCACCCCCAGAAATGGCCCCGCTAAGACGCACCTCAGCCTCCAAGTAAGCGACTCTCTCCTTGAGCTCCTGGATCACGGCATCTTTGGCCTGAATCACCGTTTTGGAGTTCTGGAGCTGCAAGAGAAAAGTTCACAGCGACTGAAAATCCCTCTCGTGTACGGCTGGGCTGGGCTAGGAAGGAGGGCAGCTTAGCCAGCCACCCTCCTGCCTGAGAACACCCACAACATTAACTCCCAGCTCTGCATAAAAGCAATCAAAAAAAGCCTCAAGTTAAGTCTGAGAATTAAGCCCCAGGTGAAGGAGCCTCTGCTCACACAGCTTGAGATTTAAGTCCTTCAGCAGGCCACACGGGGCACGCAGCACTCCCCTTGCACTCCTGTTATCGCTGCCCCGGCCCAGGGCAGCTCGCGCCCCAGCTCAGTCCCCGCTGCAGCACAGGGCTCCGGGCTGCCTGTGAACTTGTGTCCCTTTGGTTTCCAAAGGGACTCGGCCCCACAAACCAGCAATTCTTTGCTTCCAAGCAGCTGAAGAGTTCGAGGGGTTTTTTCCCCTCCTTTCTCACTTTTCTGGTCCTGGTCC